CATATTGGTTTTTCTGTTGTTTTATGTGTCATATTGTCCTCTTCCCATCCCTTCTGTCAGTGGGTGCAGTTGGGGTCTCTTCCTCTCCTTGTGGGTATGGGTCCAAGGTTCTCTTCTAGGGTGTTAAAGCAGGTCTAATACTCTAATGGGTCTCATGGTGGGTTCAGGCAGGGTTGAGGCATTCCCTCCCCTGGAGTTGCACAGCAATGTCAGGGGACTTGAGGTTGCTTGGTCCACTGGGGGCTAGTCAAGCTGCCTGCAGTCCCCAGGCCAGGAGATCCCAGCTTCATTTTTTTCATCTATGCTTTAAAGTCATTTGCCTCTTTTGCCAGATTTTTCTAAGATATTTCTTCTCTGGAGGCTATTGTACATGGGATTGTTTCTCTGATTTCTTCCTTGGTATGTTCATTGTTTGTATATAGAATGTCTACTGATTTTTGTTTGCTATTTTTATACTTTGCTGGATGTGTGTATCAACTGTAGGAGTTTTCTGGTAGAGTCTTTAATGTATAGAATAATATCAGCAAATAAAAATGTTTGACCTCTTTCTTTCCTATTTGTATTGCCTTTATCTCTCCTTTCATTTGGCTTATTGCTTTAGCTAAAACTTCAAACGCTATATTGAACTGGAGTGGAGAGACTAAGCATCTCTGTCTTGTTCTTGATTTTAGTGGAAATTCTTTTTCTCCATTTAGCATGATGTTAGCTGTATATTGCTTTTATTATGTTGTCTTTCCTATTTCTCTAAATTCTCTAGAATTCTTATCATGAAAGAATGCAGGATTTTGTTTTAGGCTTTTTCTCTATCTAATAAGATAATCATGTGGTTTGTGTCCTTCATCTGTGTTAAACTAAAATCAATTTTATGTGATGAATTACATTTATTGTTTACGTATTTTGAACCCTGCATCTCTGTGATGAAGCTGAGTTGTGGTAGATGCTATTTTTTATGTATTTTATTGAGAATTTGTTACTATGATCATTAAAGATAATTGGTTTATAATTATTTTTGGGGGGAGTCTTTTCTGGTGTGTTTCTATTAGGAAAATACTTCATGAAGAGAATTTGGAGTTGTTTCTTCCTTTGTTATTGTATGGAATAATTGCTGTATTATTGGTGTGTATTTATCTATGACAATCTGGTAGAACTCTGTGCTGACTCCATCTAGCCTAGGTCTTTCTTTTTAGTTGAGAGATTTGAGAATACTACTTCCATCTTGTTAATTGAATTTTTTATTTAATTAGTTACTTAATCTTTATTTAATTTTGGTAGGTTATATAAATCTATAACCTATCCACTTCTTTTAGATTTTCTAGTTTAGTAGAATATAGGTTTTTAAGTATATCCTTATGAATATTGGTATTTCCTCATTGTTTGTTGTAATTTGTCCCTTTCAGGTAAGATCTCCATAGCACAGCTGTGGGAGAAATGGTTTGTAATCTCTCCTTTTTCTAATGTAATTATTTTGGATCTTTTCTTTCTTTTGATTAATTTGGCTAAAGTTTGGTCAACTTCCTTAATTTTATCAAAGACACAATGTGTTCCATTAATTCTTTTGTATTGTTTTTTAAAATTTCAATAATTTCAGCCCAATATATTATATTTTTCCATCTATAGTTTTTGCTTCTTTTTATTTTAACAAGGCCTCCAAGTGAATCAGTATTAATTTGAGATCTTTCAACTTTTTTGATGTAGGTAGTTGGTTCTATAGAGTTTTCTCTTAGGACTACCTTCATTGTAATCTCACAATTTAGTATAGTGCAATTTCATTTTCATTCGATTTTAGGAACTTAAAAATCTTTTCCTATTGACACATATCTCACTGAATGCAGAGAGTTTGAACTGATGCTTAACTAGAGGCTTTACCTCTCCTGAGTAGTGTTCATGATACTGGAAGTACTTTGCATACTACTGGAGGAGACAGGTAACCATCGACCAAGGTACAAATCTGATGATCTACATCGATGACCTACCTGCAAGACATGCTGTTGCAATAATGACACAAATGGGTGTGGGAGCAACCAACCACTCTCTGGAATTAAGACCCACTTCATGAGATGGACCTCATGTGTGAGATGAACTGAAGCCTGACGCTGTGTGGCCTAGAACCTGAGACTGGACAGCACATGGGCTTAGGGGAAAACCAAATACTGTTCTTCTAAAGGAACATAGTGATAAAGTGCCATTTTGCTATATCCACATATCAGAGCCTCACTTGGCCACCCTTACAAAGTTTCCTCTTGCAGTAGATGGAAGCACAGACACCCACAACTGAATAAAATGCAGAGTAAGGGACTTTGGAATGCTCAGTTCTGAATGGGAGGTTTTCATCAATCTTCTCCCCTCAGGGCTCAGGGAGCTATACAGAAGAGGAGGCAGAATGATTATAAGAGCTGGAGGGGATAGATAATTCCAGGAAATGGTGTCTTCCAGACACAACAGGAAAGAAGCACATATGAACTCACAGAGTCTGTGGCAGCACGTATAGTGTCTTCACAGGTTCTAGCCAGATGAGGTCCCAGCTCTGAGATGGGGAAGGGGACATGGACCACCACCCATAACCAAGAAGTTCTCTTCAACTGACATCTGATGAAAAAATCTAGTTTTCTCCACTGGAGACTCACTGGGTGTACTGCCCACAATGAAGGGTAGACCCATGTTCAGCAGTAGTGGCCAACACAAAATGAATTCAATGCTGTTCTTCTAATAATTTTCATCTCATATTGCTTTTGTGGGCATTTCTTGTATGTTGCTTATATATTATAGTTTCCAATTTTTTATGGGTTTTGTGTGTGCATCTGTCTGCATGTCTATGTGTTTTTTTCTTTTCTTTTGTTGTTTTATTTTTGAGAGAGAGAGGAGGAAGAAAGGGAGTGGAGTTGTATGGATGTGTAGGTGGAATGATGTGGGAAGAGTTTGTGAGGGGAAACTGTGATCAAATACATATTATCTGAATTTTTTTTCGGTTAAGAGTTAGTTGACCCAGTTTTCATTCAGTAGACTATTGTTTCATTTCCATAAGTTTGGGTGCTTTCTATTGCTGTTGGGATCAGATAGGATGCAAGTTATTTCAACTTTCCTATGTTTGTTGAGACTTGTTTTGTATCCTAATACTTTGTCCATTTTGAGGAAGTTCTGTAGGTTGCTGAAAATAACATGTATTCTTTAGCATTTGTGTGAAATATTCTGCTGATGCCTGTTAGATCCACTTGATTTATGTCATTTTACTTCAACATTTCTTAATTTTCTCTCAGATGACATATCTATGGGTTGTTGAAATCACTTTGCTATAATCTATGATTTTTTTTTGGTTTTTCAAGACAGGGTTTCTCTGTATTGTTTTGGAGTCTATCCTGGTACTAGCTCTATAGACCAGGCTGACCTCGAACTCACCGAGATCTTCCTGCCTCTGCCTTCCGAGTGCTGGCATTAAAGGTGTGCGCCACCAACACCCGGCCTAATCTATGATTTTTAGATCTAATATTTCTTTTATAAAACTAGTTACTTGTGTTTGGCTCATCTGTGTTTTTAATTTTAATATCCTCTTGTTTTCCTTTAATCAGTATGAAGTGACCCTCCTTATTTGTTCTGAGTAGTTTTGGCTTGAATCTATACTGTCAGATATTATAGAGAAGCTATACATGCTTATTTTTTAGTTCCATTTGCCCCCTTTACTTTACCTTAAAGTGGTGTCTATCATTAACAGTGAGATGTGTTCCTTGGGAGCAAAATCACCATTTACCATATTCTCTACGAGTTCCTTGAACATATTTATAATTGAAATCATTGTGAGTCATCTAATTTGCTTTGCTTAGGGACATTACTATGGTAGTATTATTTTTTAAAGAGCATATATAATGTCTTAGTTATTCATATTGTGTTTTGTGATAAGACTTAGGTTTCTAGAGTTAGGTCACTCACTGACTGGTAGTGTTTCTTGGTTTATCTGTCCTTGGTTGAGTTGCTATTTTTCACATTATGACAGCTTGTCTGGTTATGAGTGTTGGGGGTTCAGTCTTGGGACCACTGTATGTTGATGTGAAAACAGGGTATCAGAAGTGGTCCTTGCTCAGCTAGGGCTAGGTGCACCTTGTGAACACAGAGCAAACCTTCTGTAGGGGTAGATTTTTGTTGCAGATCTTCAGAAGTCTGTAGAAGCTCACAATGTTTTATAGGTGGTCCTTAGGTGTTAGGGGCTAAAGTCCAAAAGTGGGAGTGAGTAGTATTACCTGAGGGAGGTATGCAGGGGTGGATTTGCAGCAGAGGTGGGGGGTGACCTAAGGGTGCTCAGAATCAGTGTTCCTCAGGTGGCAGATCAGGATCACAGTGGCGTGAGAGTCATTACCCGGAGGATGCGCATTTAGTCTTCTATTAACTATTTAAGTTATCATAGAAAATAATGTTTTCAACATGGCATTTTCATAAAGATGCACTATTAAACTCTATCCTTGTTCATCCCTATTGCCTACCCCGTTCTCTTTCCCTCTTCTGCTAACACCTGTTGAGGATGTGGGAAACAGGAACCCTTACACATTGCTATGGGAATGTAGCATAGTATGCTGGGCTTTTGACCTGTTTTGACTAAAAGTACCTGGTGGATGTGATGTTACGTAACTCCTGAGGTCCTATAGCTCTCACCAGACTGGCTTGGCATGCTACTACTGCATGAGGAAGTCCAAGCTACTCATTTTGAAGAGGAAAGGCTACACTGAGGGGATCCCAGTCGTCAGCAAGCATCCTGAGCAGCAGCAACTTGGTGACTCAGACAAGGCTAACCCAAATTACTGATCTACAAACTGAGAGCATACACAATGGCTTGATGCTCTGGTGGTGGCTTGGTATGCGATAATTACGTTTGTGAATGTGCCTTAGTCTCTAACACTGCGGATAAGACAGAGTGACTTTAAACCATAAAACAGATTTGGGTTCCTCAATAGGCTGTAATTTTGGACTTTTAAGAAGGAATGCCAGTTTGAGCCAGTGAGATTCTGTCTCAAAAATTAAGGCTGTAATAATTTATTAGCCAGACCAGTCATCACTGTGAACCAATATCTGAAATAGCCAGTAGGGGGCCATGGTTATGTTTTCAGGGGCCCCAGTTTCTACTTCTTGGCTTTGTTGGTTCTGGGATCCAAAGTGAAGCAGAACATCACAGTAGCAAAACCACGTGGCAGGCAGGCAGGGCAAACAGAGAAAGTGACCTGAAGCCAGATAGAACCTTCACTGTCACCTCCCCAGTGCTTTTCCTTCAGACAGGCCTTGTACTGACCAGTTTTTTTTTTTTTGTTTTTTTTTTTTTTTGTGACGAGGTCTCATGTACCTCAGGCTGGCATCAGCTTGCTATGTAGATAAGAATGGCCTTGTACTCCTCCTGGGATCACTATGGCCACTGTATAGATAGTTTCTTGACACATTGTACCTTTCAAAATTGGCAGGATCTGTTGGTTCATCCTTCACACACCATGTGATTGACCCCACACAGTTACGATATGGTGAGTCAACTCAGCATTAGTGGCTAAATTCATGAGTTCCCATGTCAAATTGTTTCAGATGTCGGCTCAACTGCCCGTCAGCTGCAGTTTTTTTTTTTAAACATTCACTACAGAATGGAAGAAGAGGGAATTAAAAGGGTTAGTACTTGAAAACATGTTAAGGGGTAAATGCATCTTAGATATTAGACTGCCAATATAGTAACGAACTACCTAGGTCTGGAAAGCAGCCATTACTGGTCACTTAGGATTTTTAGGTCTCTGTTTTCTCAGGTATAAATTAAGGTTTACTAGGAAATTCCTATGGTTTATTTTCATCTTTAAAATTCTATGACCTAGTGTTTAGTATCTGTTTTACTAACTAAAGTCTGAACTTTTCAGATTTTTTAAGAAATTTACTCTTAGCAATTCTGAGGACCTTCTAGTAATGTTATTTGTAACACTGCTCTTCCAGTCGACATTAAAAATTTAAAACCATTTATACATGTATGAGTGTTTTGCTTGCACGCATGTATGTATGTATGTATGTATGTATGTATGTATGTATGTATGTGCATCACATTTTCTGTGCCACTGCAGTCAGAAGAATGGGGCTGATCCTCTGGAACTGGAGCTACAGTTGTGCGTCACTGGGTGGGTGCTGGGAACTGAATCTAGGTCCTCTACAAGAGCAACCAGTACTCTTTATTACTGAGCCATCTCTCCAGCCTGCATAAAACAAGCTGTAAAACTAACACCTGGCAAGCAAACACTGGAATTCCCACTGAAATACATAATAAAGACTTTCCTGGCTTATAAAATGCAGAATTTATTTTTAAACATGGGATAAGTACACTTATTGCATAAAATCAAGAAAAAATATCATTTGAAACAAAATAGTTTACTTCAAATTTTGCCACTCAACTTTCTCCAACGTTGAGAGTCTTTCAGTGTTTTCATTGTAGTTTTGAGTTGTGTGTATATCTTTGTGCTTTACTTTATTTATATCACTTTACACAATTATAGCCATTTAAAAGAGTGGAATCTTAACTATTTACAGAACACTGGAAGATGAATTATAGCTTCCCTATTGCCTACTCTTATTAAAGTGTTACATGCTTCATTCAGACAAAAGCATCTATAATTACAGCATCCATTACATTTCAAAACTTATTTTGGTTTAAGCATGTTCCATACAACTAATAGCATCCGGACAATTTTTGTGCATCTATGGATATACGGTCCATGCTGTATATCTTCAATTGCTCTTGGGTCTCTTACTGAACTTGGACCTCATCCGTTTGCTGATGCCAGCTAGCCGGTAAGCCCGGGGATTCTTCTGCATTGGTCTCCTTTGCACAGGATTGCATTGGTATTTTTTCTTTTTCCCATATTTTTTTATTGATTCTTAGACTTTCATATCACGCACTCCAATCCCACTCATTTCCCAGCCCTTCCAGATCTGCCCTCCACCCTTGTAGTTATTTTGTCTAACATGGGTTCTGGGACCAAATTCAGGTTTTCTTGCTTGCTTGCAAGCACTTTACTGACAATATCTTCCCAAGCCCCAAATATGATTTTTAGCGGTTGCAGAATACCATCACATAGAAGGAGCACTTTATAGTATATTGACCTATAATCTCCATTTGTTTCTTGACAATGGGACAGAAAACAAGACCATAGGATATACTATGAAGCAGCAGATCACTTTTCTATCCCATTCGGTTCCAAGAGGACAGGGTCAATGAAGCATTCCATTAACAGCCCTGCTATTTACAAACTTCGTTTACAAACTTTGTTTGGGATTTTCAAAATCGATTTTGCTTATTTTCTTCTCAAACACAGAGCTGAGTGTGGTGGCCAGCCTGTAACCCCAGCTTTGATAAGGGCAGAGCACAGGGGAACCCTGAGATGAAAGTCAACCTGGACTAGTCAGTGAGTTGCAGGCCAGCCGGAGCTACTTGGCAAGACCATCTCAAAAAACAAAATACCAAACACCTTGAGCCAACCTTCCTAAACTTTACTGTTTCGGAAGTTCGAAAACAGTAAGCCAGATAAATGTGTTTTTCATCAATGTTAAGATAAATAAGGGCAAATTGGCACTCTAAAATATCTTGACCAAGAGCTGACACATACTTGAAGTTAGCAAGGGCAAGAATTCCAATCTCAGAGTTGGGAAGAAGGTGGGGACTGCAGCTACTCGCCATGGGAAGCAGCCCGAGGTCTGCAGATTTGACAGAAGATGGTCATCTTCGATCTTTGGGGATTTTCCAAGCAGGAGGCTGGGGCCAAAGAAGGAAAGTGCGTGCTTGCCATGTGATCCAACTTCACTTTTAGGTTTGCACTATCAGAGCGCAGCAGGAGTCCCGATCCTCAAGCCTCTTGCATCCCAAGTTCCAGAAGGCACAAGTGCATAAATGCTGCCTAGCCAACACCTGCCAGCCTTTGCGGATCGAGTCCACTTGGGGCTCACACTCCCTTCTTCTCCGTCGTCTTCCCAACCCGTGGCAGGTTCGGGTCGGCCGAAGCGCAGCGTGAGCAACAGTTTGGAGCCGGAGCGAGCCTGCGGCGCGTGCCCGGAGGACGTGCCAGCGGCTCTCACACCTCGGGACGCACGCCTCCTCGGCCCGGGGCCCCGCAGCCGCCGACCGCCGGCCGCCGGGAGGACGCAGGGGCGCGCGCCGGCGAGGCCCTCCGTGCACCTCGTCGCCCTCGGCGCCGCCAGCCCCGCGCAGTCGCCCCCCGAGGCCGGCCCCGCGCGTCGCCTCCCCACCGGGGCTGCCCGCCCGGCGCATGCGCGCCGCGCTGCCGGGCGTGCCGGCCACCCTCCCCCCACTCACTCCGTGAGCTTGTCACTTCCTGCCCTCGCCCCATCTCCGTCCGGGGTCAGTCAGTCGCTCCCTGTCGCAGCCGGAGACTTCTCTGCTTCCCCCTTCCTACCCTCTCCACGGCGGTCTCTCGGGCTGTCCGGGGAGGGGGCGGCCGAGAGAGAAAGCGACTGACTTCCATAAAGTTTCCCGAAGCATCTGCTACCCGAAAGGCCCCAGGTGGGGGACCCGGCGCAGCTCCCCGCCCCTCTCCAAAGCCCGGGGGACCGTTGCAGGTGGAGCGGCGCTGAGGGGAGCCGGGCTCGGCGCGGCCGGCCGTTGCCCTGGAGAGGAGAGGGGCGCCTCCTTCCCGGCCGCTCCGGTTCCAGCTCCTTCGGCTGCTGCGCCGGGCGGTTCCTCCTGTCAACCGCCTGCGCCCGCGCGCCGCCAGCTCGCCGGCCCGGAGCGCCCGAGGGCCGCCTTGAGCCGCCACCGCGGCCCGAGGACGTGGTGAAGCCGTGGCGCTTCCGCGTCCGCGCCGCCAGCCGGGGGACTCTTTGGGAGCGCGCCGGGCCTCAGCCGTCTCGGCTTCGCGCGGTGCGCCCGGGCTGCGCCAGGTGGGGCCCTCCGCCGCGTCCGTGCGCCCGGCCGGTGCCGCGGCCCGCTCGCCTCCCGGCTCGCCCGCTCGCTTGCTCGCCCGCCTCCCCGCCCGCCCGCTCGCTCCGGGAGTTGAGTAAGTTGGGCGCACTTGGCGGCGCGTACCCGACCTACTCCAGGGAGACCACCCCGGGCGCACGTGCGTGGCGGGAGGGCGCGGGCTTCTCCTCGGCCGCACAGGGCTCCCCCTCCCTCTCCCCGTCGCTCCCTGCGCCCCCCGCTCTCCGCGCGCCAGTCCGCCCGCCCGCCAGCCCCGGACGGCGAGGCCGCAGCCGCCTGCGCAGCCCGCCAGGCCTCGGCCGTGCGCTGCGTTGCGCTGCGCTGAGCTGCGCGCCGGACGCTGCGTTTCCGGGTAAGGGCGATGAACCTGTGCGGGGAACTGGGTGCGAGGCTGCAGGCCCGGCGGGAGGGCGAGCGGGCTGGCGGGCGGGAGGGCGTCCGTTTCTTTGCCCGGCGGCGGAAGGTGCGGGCCTTGGCGTGGGAGAGCAGAGAGCGCACGGTGGGGATGGTCTGTGGAGATTGCAGCTGCAGCCTCCCCGGGGAAGTTCGGGGACAGTGACGGGTTTGTGCTTCTGTTCACAGCCGAGCCTCAATGAAGAGCTTCTCCCAGTGAAAAGGAAATAGGTCGCACCCATTAAAAATGCCTTTGAGGGACAAATACTGTCAGACTGACCACCACCATCACGGATGCTGCGAACCAGGTAAGTCCTTTCCTTGCCCAGGGTCTCTGCTCTCCTCCCTCAGAACCACTGGGCCTTCAGTGTTGTCTCTGAGAAGTCTTCCCTAACTAACAGTGCGTCTGTTTCCACAGCGGCCTTCTAAGAGCCTGGACAAACCCGAGATCTCTCTAGCTTGATCCCCTAGAGAAAGTGCTGCAAGTGTCACCGTCAATCATTTCCACAAGATCAGTCAGCTTCTTTCCCTTTTTGCAAGGCTTTCGGTTAGTGGTTTACTCCACGCTCTGAGTGTTTCAAACGGAAGGAAAAGGCAAAGATAGATTCGTGGTGGAATACTAGAGTCCATCCTCATGAGAGTTGTTTATCACTGAAATAAGTTTCTCGTGCTGTATTTCTTTAAACCATAGGATAATGTTTACCCCCCCCAACCCACCCCCAAACCCTCAAAAGTTTAGTTTGGGTCAAGTTTAAAAACATCTTAACTGTTTTGGATAGAGTTTATTGTATTGCAGATTATTTAGAATACTTAAGTATACCTAAGGTATTTAAGTTGAAATGATTCAGCTACATTTATGATATTAAAGCTTTTGACTCTCATGAAAAATATCAGTGAATTCTAATTGGATAGACATTGTATTGATGGTTCTTAGAACTTTGACCTTAAAAGGGACATCATGGAAAACGTACAGTTGTTACAAATAAAGGCCATTCTACTCTAGTTCAAAGACAAGTGTTTATCACTTTTTATTTGAAAGTTACCAGGGATGGTATTTTTTCTACTTTGGCTTTTTTTTATTAAAAAATTTTATTTTTAAATTTAAATTCAAATTAGAAACAAGGTTTCTTCACTTGTCAATCTCAAGTCCCTCTCCCTTTCCCTCCCCTCCTCCCACGCCCTCCCAACACCCACCCAATAGCCCCTCCTTTGCCCAGGGAGGGTGAGTTCTTCCATGGGGGTGTCCATAGTCTGTCATTTCATCCAGGACAGGGCCTAGACCCTTCCCCAAGAGTCCAGGGTAAGACTGTATCTCTCATTGTGGGATGGGCACCCAAAGTCCATTTGTATGCCAGGGATAAATACTGGTCAACTACCAAAGGCCCCATAGATTGCCTAGGCCTCCTCACTGACACCCCCGTTAAGGGGGTCTTGATCAGCCCCATGCTGGATTCCCAGGCATCAGCCTGGGAGTCAAGAGTTAACCCTTGTCAGGTCAGCTGTTTCTGGGGGTTAAACCACTTTGGCTTGTTTTTAATTGAAATATTTTAATTACACTGATGTATTTAAATTTTTATCATACCAGTTTATTTTAAGTGTTTTGTTTTGAGAAGGGAAAGTGGTAGTAGTAAAGGGGAAGAAACTTTTTTTAAGAAAACATTGATGAGCATGACAGTACCCATTTGGTTCCAGCCTCATTTCTCTTGTATTTTGTTGGGTCATTAATATCCTAATAGAACAGGTGCCTCTAGGATGGGACCTCGTGTTTTAAATTCAGCTCCAGACCCGTCTAACTTCAGTGCTTCTCTGTGCTGCATGTCTTGTGTATCTGAGGTGAAGATGTAATATGGCACTGAATAGCGTTTACTAGTTCGCACATTCATTTCTTTAACAAGTCATTATTGAGCATCCCTTAGGTGCCAGGTGTTACCCAAGGCAATGAGATATAAATGGTGAAAAAGACAGTGCTTTATTCATATAACTTTTGAATGGGAAGAGATAGATTGAAACAAATAAACAAGGTAACGTTTGAACATGATTTACAGTACACGCTGGTAATTAAGTATTTAAAGGACTTAATGCCTTTAAAAATGCTTTCTGGAATTTAATTTTTTAGTGTGGATTGTATTTTTTCCAATTAACAAATCAGCAAGTATTATTAATTAAAAATTAAAAGTTACTGCTTATTAATATTTGCTTCCTTAGGTAGAACTAAATACTTTGGAATGTTTATTTCAATGGAAAGCTAGACATTTGCTGACTTTTAGCTTAGTTCATTGTCGTTGTTATTTCAGGGAAGGTGTGTGCTGAGTGAGGACATTTCCAGGTCTGAAAGAAGTATGGTGTGATAGTTATAAGATGTCCTCAGATGGCGAGATGGGGATGTGATGCTGGAGAAATTCTTTAATGGGCTTTCATGAGTCCTCTGTCTTCACTTTGATTATGAACAGAGGGTGAGACCTCAGATGAGAATGTTCCTGAAGAGACCATTATTTTTTGATGAAATGAGTCAGTTTACAGTGAGAGGTGGCATTAGAAGTTTATCAGTATTATGTACGTTCTTGTTTTAGCAATTCTTTTTTAGATAGAAGTTTTCAGAAGTTAAACGTACAATGGTGTAAGGAATCTGATGTAACCATCTTGCAGTTAATCATTTGTCAGTAAGTGAAAACCTCTTTTCCATTATCTTTTCACCTTCCCCAACATTTCCCTTTCTGCTCCCCAACTACTCTCCCAACTTCTATTTGTGATAAGAAATTCCTAGATATCATAATTAGAAAGATCTTTAAGGAACTTGTTTTAAGACATGTGAGAACTACATAAATAGATATGTGCTCTTTGAACAGCATAAAGTAAAATGTTCTGAGGGCTTGAGTGCTTTTTGTTGGGGGAGATAATTTTTTTTTAATGTTTGTAACCTGGATCTGTCTGATCTTGCAACAGATGACAGGATATGTAAGAAGATTTTAGAAAATTACATATATGTGTGTTTATGTGTGTGTATATATATATATTTTTTTTTGCAAATAAATTTTAATTGAAAAAGTATATTTTAATAGTGGGAGCTACACAGGTATGTCTACTAAGTAATGCATCCATGCAGAGCCAAGACAACAGGTTTTATTGTCTTAGGGTGTATCTGTTCTAGTGGAAGTGTTCTGAGGTTGGAAGTGGTGTGTTACAGAAAGTTTTCTGGAGTGTGAGGAACTCTGACAAAGTCTGTTTCTCTCTAGAGTTCTCTTACCATTTTGGTTATTTTTCTTATTTCTATTCTCTAATTTTCTGCTTCTAGCTCCTTATAAAACCAGACCTTGGTTGTCTACTGTTGGTAGATTTCTACTCTCTTTGTAGCTAATTATGCTTTATACTTATCAAATGCTATCATACACAAGTACTGGAAAGTGATCCCTCTAACTCAACACTAACAGACTGCTAATGAACCTCTGCTGATTCTCTTAAAGGTTGGTTTGACTTAAATTTGTGAAAAGATGTTTTTGGTGCAAGAAAAGCAGTTGTGTGCACATGATATTGCTGATGCTGCTGGAATGTTTACTGAGCACTTGTTATATATCCCAGGCTGTCTTTTGATTAGTTTCATCATATCTTATTAATAATTGCAAAGTTCCATTTTTGGTAATTTTGTTAGTTCCATGTTAGAGAAGAGGAAAAGAGATCTGAGCATTTAGTTGTCTTAGTTATACCTCAAGAAATCGCCATACAATTGACACTCAGGGAGTGTGCATCTGGATTCTTAAATTCTTTATTATTGCCAGTGTTCTCAAACTGAGTTAGTTGTCTGTGTGTATTTTTATTACTTAAGTGTTTGTTAAGATTTTACGTGATGATATGGTCCTGCGATGAGGTTCCTCTTAGTTGAGTATTTGAAGTATGAAGGGGAGTCTGAGGCTCCATTGGTATGCACAGCTCTGCTTCGGCTACTCTGTATCAAAAATGGAATTGCTCTCCAGATCTAAGATGCAAAGCAGTAGAAGCACATGCAGTGGAAGGGAACATGCTGCCTCAACCCCCAAACTGAGAGAGTGGTCCCTGGGTGACAGTGGCCTTAGTTGGGTAGGACCTTATGTTCTTGAAAAAAAATTAAATGGCCAGTTTTCCTTCACTACAGCCTTTCTGTCTATTTGACAGCTGATAGAATCACAGGTGTCCTGTTCAGCTACCTTGTGCTTCATCTGAGAATTTTGCGAAGGGGAGGGGGCAATAATGACTAGATGTGAAAGTGAAGTTTTTATTTTTAAAATGGAGAAGTTATTTTTACTTTACTTGTAAAATGCCTAACTTCTGTGCTCTGAAATAATAGACACGTGAGGCATGTGAACGGCACCCTCGAGATCACCTACCCTGACAGAACCGTTGCTAAATTCTGTCGGTACCCTTCCTAGATAACTTTCTATCTATGCAATACCCATGTCAACTAAATTTATGTATTTCTCTATCTGCGTAAATATGCATTGATGTGAATAGGCCACAGTCTATACCCTGTTTTTATTATTTAACCATACTGACACCCTTCCTGGTCAGTACAGTGTAGCTGGCTGGTGCTTTTCAGCTGTTATGTGATTATTTCATAGCTTTTAGTTTGGTTCCTATGAAGAGATTTTGGAATTGGAAGTTTCTCTCAGTTGAATACAGTGCTATAGAGTACTTCAATGAAAGTCTCGTATGTCTATAATTGTGGACTTGTCTAATTTTTTCTTAGGCAGTTGGTTTGAGTTTTGTTCTCATGATTGTCCAGGATGCTTGATCAGGTGATTTTTAAGGCTTTTGGAAGAGCTTACTAGGTATGGCTAGGCTACCATAACCTTACGGGTTTTTGTTAAATATAGTTCTTCTTTAAGAAGACTAAAAAGGCAAACAGTGTATACTGAATGATTTCAAAGCAGTAAGCATTTGCTGTTAGAACTAATGACTAACCTTGATTGAGTCTTTAATATTGAGAATGATTGAGGTTTTCTCTCCATTGGTTCATTTGTCTTACGAAGATGATGGTGAATTTTACATATATGATTATATGGAGGTATTCTCATTATTAACATAATTGTGGCAGACTATTGTTTGATTGAATAGTAAGTAATTTAAATAACCCTTTTTTGTGGGTTGGGGTGTTTGTTTCCCATATAGTTTATACCCTGGAGCCTGGAGATCCTCCTCTGTTACAGCAACCACTACAGACATCCAAATCTGGTATTCAGCAAATAATTGAGTGCTTTCGATCAGGTATGAACATTTTAGTTATATTTTTCAAATATCACACAGTAATTAAAAACTGCCCAGAAGGCCTATGTATTGGTTTTCTTTATAGTATACTTTGATTTGTCATATTTTTACGACAAATGAATAAACATTGACCTTGTCTGGAAATTCTTTTTCAGCACTGCCTACTAAATATTAATTAAAAATTTTTACTATGGTTTAGAGGAATTTGGTATAGTTTAAGATAAAATGCTATTACTTCTTAAGGCAATCAATTATTCTGATTCTTTATAAACTTGGATGTAAATTATATTAAGATATATGAGGATATCGTTCTATATTAATTTCTTGTCATTTCTGTTTTGGGGGCTCACCTCCTGCCAGACTTTGGAGTTTTCACTATCTTCACTAGAGCACAGGATAGAAAAAAAAGAAATGTTCTAGCCCTGGTATCTTCAGAGACATTTATTAAGCTTTTGTTTCTCTTTCCTTTAAATTTTATTTTATGTGTATGACTGGACTACTTGTATGTCTGTGTACTACATGCATGCCTGGTACCCACAGAAGCCAAAAGATGGTATTGGATTCCTTGAAGTGTAGTTATAAAGAGCTGAGAGCTGCCTTGTGGGTGCTTGAGAATTGAACCTGGGATCTCTGGAAGAGCATTCTATCTAAGTGCTCTTTGCCTCTGAGCCACCTGTCCAAACCGAGGCTTCCGTTTCTGGTAGATTATTATAGGAATTGGCTATGTTATGCTTGTGCAGTCACAGTTCAGTGCTTTAAAATAGGTGAAGCAATTGAGAAGTGAGGGCTCCTATGTTATCAGTGAGATCATAGATTCCTATGATTCTTGCAACTCTCTTATGTATTTTTCATGCATTTATGTTCTGACATCACTGTTCAGTCAGACATCAATAAACAGATGAATACAATGAATTGGCACCTAACTCGTGGACAGTAGGATCTCATCATTATTTAAAATAAAAGATAATATAATAAATTTTTTGAAGTACAGGGGAGGGACTGGAGAGTTGGTTCAGTGACTAAGAGTGCTTATTATTCTTGCAGAAGACCCAAAATCAGTTTTCTGCATCCATATAATATGGCAGCTTATATCTGCCTATAACTTGAGTTCCAGGGGACCCAATATCCTCTTCTCATGTCCGGAGGTGAATGCATGCATGTGATATGTATATATTTAAACACACAATCACACTCAGGCACACACAAATGAAATACATTAATAAAATGTTTTTAAAGAAAAAAGTATAGAGGACAAAGTAAACATTTGCTTTACTTCACGATTCAAAGAAGTAGGTTATCCTTAGATTAATTTTTTTCTCTGATCTCCACGAGTCATTTTGTAGACTTAGATATGGCGTTTATGTCTTGTCTTTACCACAGTGTTTCAGTGTCTGTCATATGTCTATCTTTATGCTAGATGCCTACCTGATTTTGGATATTTCTTGTTTTACTTTTGATACCCATTTTTGATTAACAGGATAATCTGTAATCAAAGTTACTTATGATGCATATAAACTTTCATTAGTTAGGAGTGGTTTATATTTCTTGTGTAAGAGGATAATAGTTCATTTCTGTTTGCTTTAGCAACTTTAAAACAGATAAACATTATTTTTTGTTCTTTGTAATGAAAATGAGAATAATAGTTTTTCCCTTTTAGTAGTATAACTTGAGTTTTAAAGAAAATTCATAATTTAGAGTTAAGGTTATTTCTTATTGTCTTAGTTTATTACAGTATTATTTTATTAAGTTATTTATTACTTCATAAATGATTTATTTTATAAAATGCTTTTCAGAGGTTATGTATATAAAGTTTGTGTGTGTGTGTGTTGTTGTTGTTTTTTTTAATTTTGGGAGGTGTTCTATTGCTGTAAAGAGACACCATGACCGTGGCAACTCTTACAAAAGAAATACTTTATCAGGACTTGCTTACAGTTTCAGAAGCTCAGAAGTTCAGTTCATTATATTATGGCAGGGAGCATTGAGCCATTGAGGAGAGAGGTGGGGGGAGAAGACTGACTGGGATGGGCATTTGAAACCTCAACTCCTACCCCTATTGACAGTTTTTTTTTTTTTTCAACAAGGTCATACCTTTTCCAACAAGATTACACCTCCTAATCCTTCTAATCCTTTCAGATAGTACCATTCCCTGGTGACTAAGTATCCAAGTATATGAGCCTATAGGGGCTGTTCTCATTCAATTCACTACAGAAGAAAACCATTTAAAGATGAAGTAGTGTTTTCTTACTGCACTGTAGTCTTTGATTCTCTGTGTTTGCCAGTTCTTCACTATGTAAGCTAAAGGATGGTGTCATTCCATAGCTTTTTGTTTATCTTTTGAAATGTGTTTGTTGTAGTTAGGGATTTTATTGCCTTGATAAAACACAATGACCAAAAGCAACTTGGTCAGGAAAGTGTTTATTTCATCTTGTGCTTTAACGTTGAAAGAAGTCAGGGTGGGGACCTGGGGACAGGAGCTGATGCAGAGGACATGGAGGAGTGCTGCTTACTGGCTTGCTCCTCATGGCTTACTCTTTCTTCTAGCACCCAGGACCACCTGCCCAAGGATGGTGCCATCCACAATAGGCTGGGCCCTTTCACATCAGGCATCAATCAGGAAAATGCCCCACAGACAGGCTTATAGACCGTCTAGTAGGGCATTTTTTTTTCAGTTGAGGGTCTCTTTTCCCAAATGACTCTAACTTGATAAAAAAAGTTGATAAAAAACTAGCAAGAAGTGTTTCCTTTAAAAAAATTTCCCTAACACATTAGCCTTGGGTTATTTTTTACTATAGAAAATTCTGAAAATACTATAATTTAAATTAAGAGGTGATTTAGAAATGTTCAGAGTTATGCAGAGAAATTAATTTTGAATTAAAAGAATTAATTCATTATTGTGTTCCATAAAACAGAAATTTTTATTTCCTCAAGACAATAATCTCTTGCATATTTAGCTAATCCGAAGCCTCCTGAAGTAGCTCTCTGTAGTACAAAGGTGTTTCGGCTTAAGGTAAACCTTAGGAGAATGGGCCATGTGACTTAGGCATCTAATGTCCATTCTATCCTGAGACTCAGTTCCTCCCTGACCCAGTCTTCTCTAAGTACACCCTCAGTGACTCATCTCTTCCCAGCCTCTTTCCACTGTATCTAGGTCACACACTTTGCATTGAAAACACTATCTTGGTAGTGCTGTATATCTGGTAGGTACTTGTCAGTACAACTGTGAAGTCCATGAGGCTGCTTAGTAAGCGACAAGCTAAGTCAGGCTGAATAGTAGTGCTGTAGGATCTGTCTTCTTCAAACTCAGATACTTGTCTTCAACTACTCTGCCATCTTTGAGTTTCTCACTTTCTTCCTCCTCCACTGGGCTGTCTGTGAGCTGATACTAATTCCTGCCCAAGCTGGAAACTCATGAAGGTCTCTGTGGCTGGAGAAGATGTTGACTCATTTTCACCATGTGCTTCATTGGCTGCTGGGCAATTTTAACCCATTCTTGTTGTCTTAGGTTTCAGTGTTTGTGTTTGCTTTGCACTATTTTCTTGGCTTTAAATTAAAAATTCTTTCTGACCTCTGCTACCTTATTTATTTGTAAACAATTTAAGTAGATTTTAGGGGGTAGCGAGAAATGATATTGTGGATAAAACAAGTTTATAAGGCAAAAAGTAAGCTTTCCTTTACCCGTTTGCACAAGTGACGCTGCTGCACAGTTGTGTGCTCTTCCTTCTGCCCATGAATAAACATATTCTTGGTTCCCTCCCAGGAGAAATGGTAGCAGACATACATTCTTGTGTAGCTTTGCTCTGTGGATAGATTTGGTTGTTGAAATTACTGTAGAGTTAGATGTGGCTATAGATTTTCTACTCTGAACCATGATGGATGGATGACTCGAAACCTGCTGTTGTTTCAAATGTCCTGTGCGTTCCTGGAGCTTTTTCATGCCTGAGTAAATAAATAGTTGTAGGATCACACCTGTGATGTGATATCCTCAGGCTTCCCTTTTTCTTGACACATTTGGTTGGTCTTCCTCTCTCCCTTCCTTCAAAACACAATTGTGAAGAAAAATACGCAATCCCTTTAGATATTTACTGAACATCTCTTAGACATTTATTACATTGATTTAGTTGAGATTAATATTCTTTGTTAGTCTCTTAGTCATCTTACAGAAGCAAATAAGGTATAGAATGCCCTAAAGTTAGGAACAGGAAAATGGGGGAAGGTGTCCAGCATTCAAAACTAGTTTTTAATATGAAATTGACATGTTAAAATGTAAATATATTAAATTATAAAAATATATAAAATTATAGAGTAAAGTTTCTGTACATATAGAATATACTATACTACTATATGTAAGGAACTTCATGCCCCTATCCCCCAGGAAAGAATAAGTTGTTAATTTCTGGTATGCTAGTGAAAAATAAGTATTTTGTGTAATGGTTCTTGTTGTGACTGTCTTCCTAGATTTTTTCATCTCAAAGTTACTTTTTTATGATTGAAGTAACTTTAATTGAAGTTCATGTAAGCCATGACTGAATTTTCTTTAATTACTGTGTGTGTGTGTGTGTGTGTGTGTGTGTGTGTGTGTGTGTGTGTGTGTATGTGTATACCTGTATACATGAATGCAGTATTTGAGGAGGCCAGAAGAGGACATCAGGTCCCCTGGAGCTGGAGTTATAGGCAGTTGTAAGCCGTCTGACATGGATTCTGGGAGCTGAAAGCAGTCATTTGGAAGAGCAGCAAGGGTTCTCAATCCTGAAACTGTCTCCAGCCTCTGATGGAATTTTTCTGATTGTTAGCAATTATAGGAAATTTAAATGGGACTGGGTATCTTTTGGGATTATTATTTTTAGCATTCATCTTCCAATTGTGGCTTCTAGGATCATGTCCCTGAGAAAGCAGGTAGCCATACTAGTGAGTCTGAAGTTCTTAGTGCCACCGAACCACATTCTTACATATTTCCACTGAGTTGAGTAATATTGTATGGGGTATTTTATTAAATACTCCAT